CGGGGCGGGGCGGTTAACGAGTCGAGGGCAGGGGGTTGTGATGAGGCCCTGACGGTAAAAGTCACACACTGCGGGCGCAATCGGTTGCGTCGTAATGATGCCTTTATTTGGCCCAGCTGCATCGCCAGAAATGACGCAACAATTCGAAGTGGTTTTCACTTCAATCGCCGCACCCCCTCCCTGAACCACAGGAAAGCTGCTCCCGTTGCAGCCAGTACAGTCCCGTGTGCGAGGACGACCTGAGCCCGGGCCGGGCGCGGACCCGCCGACCCACCGGTCCGAGCAGCACAGGGGGCATAGCGAGGGAGATAAGGGTAAGCGGATTGGATCAGACCAGAGAGAGTCGTGGGGTGAGGGGGTGGGGGGCTTGCAACCCCCTCCCACTCTCTCCACCGCCTACCCCCGGGGGTCTGTCACAGGTGTGATAGCACGGCCCGGGGGAGACGAGGGCGCCGCGGGCCAGACTGGGATCAGCTGGAGGGAGGGCGCCTCGGCCCCCGCCCCGCCCCGCCCCGCCCCGCCACGACAGCCGTCTCCAGCAGCAGGCGGTACAGCAGCAGAGCAGCGGGGACGACATGCATAACGGCAAGACGGGAGGCGGAACAGCAAAAAATAAAAATGAAACACGAAAAAGGTAAAGAAACCAAAGCTATGACGGGTGACACTGTACAGCTCCAATAGACGTGTTTCACGCGGAAGAGAGGTCCTCGGACCAGCGCGGCTGCAAGTCTGCGCCATATTCAACTTCAACTTCAAAAAGGGTTATCACGACTGCTTGTTCATAGCGAACTGGAGCCACCCATAACTCGGGTCACGCAGTAGGGAAAATTTAGGGCTGTTCCAGGTAGCACACGAATCGTTCAGGGAACCTGAATAATAACGTTCTGGGAATGCTCGTGGATGGTCTAGTGCTACAAGGGCTTCAGTGAGGGTTTTAAACGACGTCGCGCACAGTATATTCCGGCGCGCACCTTGCACAGGATAACCGCGACGCGCGGTGAGTGGTTGCCCCCCCCCCCATCCCCCCCGGGGACCCCAAGGGGGAGGCAGCGGGGGAAGTACCATTGTCATCTCTGTGCGCAGATATAGATAGCGGTCGAACGATGAATGGTGATGGGTGGGCTGGTGCCAGGAGCAGGAGAGGGGGGGGGGGGGGTGCGGCCAGGAACCGAACTGGCGGCGCCCGTGTCCCGTTCCGTCGTAGTCCAGCATGACGTCCCGCAGGAAGACGCATCGCATCGGCTTATCGCTTATCCCCTCCCCCCCACCTCCACTCGGGCCGCCCCTGACAGCCGCAGCATCCAGCCGCCTCCTGCAGCCTGGACCAGCACCGCCTGCAACGGCAACGGCTGAATAAAATCTTCCCCGACAGCCTCTCTCTAGGGGCTGCTCCGAAAGCTCCAAAACACACCATCCCGTACTGGCTGCGGCCCGGCCCCGGGGCGGAAGAAAAACAGACATTCAGACGAGTATCCTTTTTTTTTTTTTTTTTTTTTTTTTTTTTTTTTTTTTTTTTTGCGAGAAGGGTGAGTGGCGTGGACGTAAAGGGTGCAAGTTGTCGTAAATTTGTAAGAAGGACACGGCATGAACTAGAGTCAATTATTTGCATTTATTCTTTCTTTGAAAATACATACATGCATTTTTTAAAATTATTTTTGCATGGTATTGTTTGCAATTGAACCCCAAGAGTCAGAAATTTGAGCACAGAAATATCCATTTGTTGCAATTTTACTTACATTCATAAAATGCAACAAAATTGAATTTAGGTGCATTTACAATTTCATCACAAATTCATCCTTAAAACTACCCACTTTACAAAGTCTTCAGTTTGAAATACACAAATCTTTTTTTTATAGAGATATATAAAAAAAACGTCAACGTACTAAAATAGTTTTCCTTGGACTTAAAAACTAGTTGCATATTTACATTTAATAAATTTAGAACTAATTTTTCCGTCAGGTCATTTGCCATGTCAGTGTAACATATGTTAATTTGCTACTGGGTTCACTGATAGTAATGATATTTTCTTTTAAAAGAACCATTGTTGTGATGGTATTTTGCTAACCGGGCAGCTTTTTTTAAAGCAGCGGCCTCCCTGCGCTGCTGCTCCTCGGCGGCCGCGGCCGCGGCCAGAACCTCCTGCAACACAACACGACCGCCCCCATCAGTCAGTACACACCGCTCACCGCTCACTCCCCCCGCCCAGCTGAGCTGAGGGCATCCCCCGCAACACTCACCGCCTCCTCGAGGGTTGGCACCGGAGCCCACCCGATGAATACGCCCCAGTCGAGGACGTCGTCGACCTGCTCCGCGGCGACGGCCTCGTCACGGCGGCCAGTCGAGGCCATAATTTCTCCCATAATGTTTTCCCAAACGTCGTCTTCTTCGTCCTGGAGACGTGGACAAGCAGCTCGAGCATGCTACGGACAAAAAATACAATTTTGAAAAGGTCAGTTTTTGTTGTTTTTGTTGTTGTTTTTTTTTTTTGTTTTTTTTGTTTACGTTCACTCAAAGTTTTGTAGCATTATCGAACAGAGATGTCCCAACAGGGACAGAGAAAGTGACACACTCACTGTGAGGGTGTCCAGGAGGTCGTCGTCGAGGTTGGTCGGCGTCCACGCCGAGACGCCCGGGACGATGCCGCGGGACTCCCACTTGCCGTTGCACACCTCCACCTCCTCCCAGGGCTCCTCCGGGCCCCCGGACAACGACGTCGACGACGACGACGGGAGGGAGACGGAGTCCCCCGAGTCGCTGTGATCGAAATAACACACGGGGTGAAAATGACGCAAAAGTACTGTTTCTCGGACGCACGTGACAGTCGCGACCGTCGCCGGCACCGCACCTGCTGTACCCAGACGAGCTCTGGGGGGTCTCCGCCTCCTCGTCGGACAGGGTCGTGGTGCTGCCGGCCTCCACCCTCGGCTCCAGCCGGCCCAGCCCCACCGTCACGGTGGTGGCGGTCGCCCACAAACTGGCCAACATTTGACGCGACGCCATCCCCTGTAGAAGCAGGAGGCGGGTGTAAACAACTTGCAGGTTTGAACAACTGAACTGGTTGCAACAGCCCCCCCCCCCCCACCTTTCTTTCACTTAATTTTCCCCAGTATGCAAATTATGAAAACCGCATTTATGTGGGAAACGCAGAATCAAAATTTCAGAAAATATAGAGTCGTCGCAACATTACTTCAGTCTTTGGGTTTATCTTACCGCTGCCGAACCCCGCACCTGACATCGGAAGTAATGCGGCGACGACTAGTATTCGGTGTACTACTTACTGACTGGTGATACTTCTTTCTCACTTATTGTATTTGACAACTGTTTTAGATAAACACAATAAAACCGATGCAGGTGCCTGCTTGTCTTCATTCGACTCTTGATACACCTGCTGCTGCACTGAGGGCGAGCGCGAGCGACACCAATCGAGCAAACCTCGGCCGGCCGGACACCAGGGCCACCAGGGGGAGCCACCGACGGACGTCTGCGAAAAGGCACGACCACAGCCGAGCGGCGGGTGAGGTTGTTCGGGAGCGCGACAAGGAGAGGCCCATGGGATGAGGGAAGGGTTGGGAATTTGGCGAAATGAAGGAAAACTGTGGTCATAAGCGGGGGCCGTCTTTCCAGGGCTGTTCTCTCCAGTCGCTTCAGGGCAATGCGTTCAGTGCTGAGTTGTAACAGCGAGTCCTCTGCTGCACCACCGGTAGCGCAGCAGCGCAGCAGCGCAGCAGCCGACTCTCCGGCACGCAGGTCCATCATCCTCCATCGCGACTCCTCAGTCCTTCCCCCCCTCGCCCAGGCTCCCCTGGACCCGCCCCTGCCCGCCCGGGCCGCCGCCGGAGCTGCTGGAGGGCACGCAGGGCCTGCGCAGAGGACGGCCCCGGCGCGGTGCAGTGCGGCGTTGCCACGCCGAGGGCGGCGGTGGGCGGAGCTTGCGGCCCGCTGTATGCGCCGCCGGGTCCTCCACGGCCATTTCTTGCTTCTTTTCAAGTTATTCTCCCGAGAACGCTGCGGCCGCGGCGGCTCCGGCTCAGGCGTCTTGGCCTCGGCTGTGCTCGACTCGGACGGGCCGGGCGGCATGGCCCCCTTCTGGAACTCCTGGAACATGGCATCGAGGCGCGAGCGACGCACACCGAGGGGAAAGTCTGGAGCACAGCAGCGTCTCGTCGACGGAAAGCCATGAGAGCCGTGAGCGCTCCAGGCTCCGCGTCCTGCCTCGCCCGGCGCTGAACGATCTTTACAGCCTCCAGGACCATGATGGCGTGCGGGAGAAGCACCTGTTCACTGCACTGAAAAGCGAACCACTCTCCCGCGCCCGAGGCACACAATCGCTCAGGTCGCTGCTCACACTTCCCCTGCCGCTGCCGCTCCAGACTGTTACTCTGTATGGGCAGCGGCGCCCTGGCCGTCAATGGACCCGGACCCGGGGGAGGCACCTCGGCGTCAGCGTGACCCGGGAGGAGGGGGCCACAATGGCGCTGTTGTTTGTGCGGGCTGGGGAGGGATTACAGAGGTAGTCGGGGGGCTCAGGTCCGGCGAGGTGAGTGGTGGGCGTGAGCGCGCGCGCGCGGCTGGCGGCGCCCGCAGACCCCGCAAGGGGCCCTCACCCCTCCTCCAGCTCCCCCCCCCCCCGTCACCCATTTCTGGCTCTGGCTCGGACTGATTACGTCGAGAGGTCTCGGGCAGGGCGAGGCTGGCGGTGGGCGCACCGCGGCCGCCCTCCGGCCCTCCGAGGGTGGACACGGACAGTGCTAGCGGGGAGCGCTCTTTTCGCGGTCCTCCAGGATGCGCCCCTCGACCTCGATGGGCTCCGACGTGCCGGCGGCGCGGCCTTGTTCCCCACGTCCCCCGCGAGCCTATGGAGCGTATGGAGGGTATGGTGCGAGCGAGAGAGATAGGGATGGGGGCTTCACCTTTCTCTCTCGCTCTCCGTGAACCCTCCCTTCCTCTCTGCTCCGCGCCCGCTCAACGTCGGCCTTCTCCCATGTGTACGACTTTGTATGTGCACCGCGCACCACCTGTTCAGGGTACTATTTCTTCTTGGTCGCCGCAAAGCCGATCGCCGCCGCGCTTGTGTCAGCAACAGGCTGCCGTGCTTGTCTGGCGGCGGGGTGCGCTGGGGGGGGGGGGCCTCCGTAGTGATACGGTAGCGGTGCCTGTCGTCATGTCATCGCTCCTCTTCAGATCCTCGAGATGTCCAGTACTCGGAAGCACCACCGGCGGCTTATCATCAAGGCGACCCGACACCCGCCCGCGCCTCCCGCACCACCACCACCGGGCGGGCCTGGCCGGCAAGACAGGGGGGCGCCTCGCCGTCGTCGCCAGACGCCGGCCGCCGGCCTCACAATGACGAGGACGACGACGGCCCGGGCCGCGCCCGCACGCCCGGGTGGCCCCGGGGGCCCCGCCGCCGCCGCCGGTCACTTTGTATGGGTCTGTGATGGGCAGCGGCCTGTTGTTGTTGCCCGCTGACGGGCGGGTCGTAAACCGAGCACGCGCGACCCTGTCAGTGCGGGGCGGGGGCCCGGTCAGCCCGTCAGCAACACGTGCTGGCGGACCCGGGGCCACCGGGGGTCAGGACCACCCTATTCATCGCCGTCCTCCTCCGGGGGCTTTGTGCGCGCCGGCGGCGGGGGCGACACATGGCCCGAGTGCGCCGCCGCCGCCGACCTGGCGCCGCAGAGCAGGTGGTCGTGTTGTTGTTGTGCTGCACGGCGGCCGGCGGCGCCTCCGTGGAGCGTTGACCCTCGACCTCTCCGCCGTCGACGAGGTGCTCAACACCTGTTCGATCCTCATCTTGGGCGTCGCTCCGGAACCACATCTCGATGTCGTGGTAGTGCAAGGTCAGAGAGGCCCTCCCTTGCGCGCGACTCGCCGGCACGGGCCGCACCGCGGCGGCCAGAGTCAGGCTCATCCGCCACGCCCACCTCTGACCCCGAGTCGTCTTGGTCCAGGATCACGACGACGACATGGGATACCCCCCCCCCCTCCTACTCCGAATTCACCCCTTCCCCACGCTCGCCGCGCCATGTCGTCTTCGTGTCCGTGTCCTGCCTCATGACCTCGCTCATGACAGCAAAAGCCGCGCAACGCCGCCATCCTGGCCACCCTGGCCGGCGCCGAGGGGTGCTCCACTCGACACAAAAATCAGGAAAAGATCAGACCAAATCAGAAAAAATCACAAAAAATAGAGAAAATTAATTAATTTTCTCTACTTCT